GATTGCCAGGTTTTTCCTCTGCGCTACTTCTGACTGAGTTCACACCGCCAGCCTTCCTGTTAGCAGCCAAGTGGTGGTTAGCTTAACCATTTTTGGCATGAGGGGTCCTAGAAAGGCACCCAGCAGGCCTATCCCGTGGACAGGTAATAATAACAATGAGGGAAATTGTACAAGGCCCCTCTTCTCTGCTGTCGTCCAGCTGCTTGCTGACTTGCCAAATGGTGTGAGACTAAGCTCTGGGAAAGGCAGTTGTGGTTAAAAAGGCAAAAAGTGACATGGTCTAAGATTACCCCTTTCAAATGGTGCTGCTTTTTGTTAATAGCACTTTTAGGAAACCCATTATGTGTGAGAATTAATAAGGAAATTGGAGAAGAGCTATGAACACACAGTAAAAGGATTGAAAAGAATCTAATTTTCTAGGAGGACTGAGCATAGGATTATGAAATATGAGGAAGACCGCTCTCATGGGGCAACGCTGAGGGCATCATGCTTGACTATTAGAGTCAGCTTGATACAGTTCTTGTGTTATAGGAGTTCTCTTTCCTCTAAGTTCTTCTTTCCTCTAAGAGCAAGCAGACCTTCCTGCGCAGCCAGATCCAACGTTCCTATCTCTTCATCTCCCATTCTCATTCTCCTCCCACGTTCTCCCCCTTTTATGGCAGCCACTGGAAAAAACTAAGGTTCTTCTCCTTTCTAAAGAGAGGGCTGCATTTTCTATCTCCATGTACCATAGTCTGATGGGGGTGGAGGGGAGGATGCAGGTCGGTGTTCTCCATCTTCCTCAATGCCTTTCTCCTCTCTCCTCCCTTAAATACCCGAGCTCCCCTGAAGCACCTAGAGCAGCGGTTCTCAACCTGGGGATCGCAACCCCTATGGGGTTGAATGACTCTTTCACAGGGGTCACCTAAGACCATATTTCCGATGGTCTCAGGAACTGAGACACCACTCCTCTGTCTCCAGGCCGGTCCACCCACATGCAGATACGCCCACATACGGGTCACCACAACATGAGGAACTGTATTAAAGGGTCATGGCATGAGTAAGGTTGAGAACCACTGAGACCGAGAGCACTCTGGTGTGTTAGTCAACATCTTCCTTTTATATCTGCTTTGTATTTCTTGACCTCAATTCCTCCCTTCCCATGTCACATTCTAGACTGTATTGTTACCAGGAACGATCTCATCACCCACGTCTCAGGGCCAGTCTACTCTGACCATCAGCTCCTGCTCCTCCAACTCATTCTCTCTATTCCAAACCCCACAGGACCAAACAGAGCTGTCCCATAGAGCTTCCAAGGATCTACGGTACATTATTCTCGTGCAGAGCATCTGATGGGTCCAAATACCCACACTTTTTGCTAGCAAATGAGAGCTTAACCAGGGTTCCCTTGCTCAACCGTAGCCTAGTAATTTTTGGCCGCTCACAGACATTTGAACAACTGACTCCACACACCATTTTTTCACTAATCAATCTCCATGTCTCTCCTTACTCTTGTTGTTGCTCCTTATCCATAATCAATCACTGAAATCACTGCCTTGCACATGGTCTCAAATCTCTGGCTACTTTATCCTTCCATAGGTAACCCCTTAACATTGCCTCTGTTGCATTTGCATATAAACAATTAAGTATGGATGGAGAGAAAGACGTTATTGCGCTAACTCACTTTACTTTAAGTTTGGAGCCACTGATGCTAATACTTTTTTTTTAAATGACAACGATGTATGGATGTCATAGGATGATTTACACAGGAATAAAATCTACATTTATAAAGAGAGATGATGGAGAAGCTCAATCTTACAAGTTAAGGAAAAGGCAGATTGACTATGGAATAGGCCAAAAATGCTCATATGCTCTGGGATCTTAAAGGCTTGAAGGTAAACAAGCGGCCATCTAGCTGAGAAGCAACAAAGTTCACATGGAAGAAGCACACCAGTTTGTGTGATTATGACGTGTCGATGATCAGGTATCAGGCATCAAAAATCAAAAAAATCCTATCATTGTGAATGAGGGGGAGTGTGGAGGGAAGACCTAAAACCCATCTGTAGGCAATTGGACATCCACTTACAGAAGGGTCACGGGGAAGAGACGAGCCAGTCAGGATGCAGTATGGCACTGATGAAACATACAACTTTTCTTTAGTTCTTTAATGCTTCCTCCCTCCTCTCCTCCCCACACCCGCTATCATGACCCCAATTCTACCTTACAAATCTGGCTAGAACAGAGCATGTACACGGGTACAGATAA